CCCAGCTCAGAGGAAGGGGCTTCCAGGCCACCATTCCAGTGCTCCCAGCCCAGAGGAAGGGGCTTCCAGGGTGCCGTTCCGGTTCTCCCAGCCCAGAGGAAGGGGTTTCCAGGCCACCATTCCACCGTTCCCAGCTCAGAGGAGGTGAGCCGCGTGGGTGCCAACAGCACCACCCCACCTTTTGAAATGAGAAGACACATAAACGAGTCTCAAAACCAAACTTTCAGATCACCTACAGCAACCCCAAAGGGAAATGAGATGGAACGCTCTGATACTCAACCACCTGAACTCCCTGAACTGGCAACAAAAGAGGATCTGGAAAAAATGAAATCAGAAATAATTTCTCAGATAACAGCAGAGATTGTGCTCATAGTGCAAGACATGATTAATAAAGCTAGAGAGGAGCTGAGGAACATGATGGAATCCCAACATAGGAAACAAATGGAATCCGTAGAACAGATGCAAACAGATTTCCAGGAGATCAAAAACTCCACTGAAAGTCTAAACAGCAGAATGAGCCAATGTAAGGACAGAATTTCAGATATAGAAGATAAGATTGCAATTAGTGACCAGGAAAAGAAAAATTGCTTCGAAATTGTAAGGGACCACAAGAAATCAATCCAGCAGCTGCTAGATGATGCAAAGAAGAATAACATAAGACTGATTGGAGTCAATGAAGAAAGAGGAGAGAGTGCAGATGACATAAAAAAACTTCACAGAAGTAATGGCAGAAAACTTCCCAAGCAGGGAAAAAGAGCTTGACATACAGATAAGTGAGGCATATAGGACTCCAAATAGCCTTGATTAAAAAAATCTACACATAGGCATATAATTGTTAAGATTCCAGAAACTCAGCAGAAGAATAAAGTTCTACAAGCTGTTAGAGAAAAGAAACTAATCACATACAAAGGAAAACCCATCAGAATCACTGCAGACTTCTCAACACAAACCCTCAAGGCAAGAAGAGCTTGGAGTGACATATTCCAAGCCCTAAAGAAAAACAGCCTCTAACCCAGACTGATGTACCCTGCAAAACTATCTTTCAAAATTGATGGATAAATAAGATATTTTCATGACAAAGAGCACTTTAGGAACTTCATAAATACCAAACCAGGACTCCAAAAAATTTTAGACAATATCCTAGGAACAGACAGTGAGGATCACAACCCCAGGAAGCAGAGCAGAATGAACCCATTTGCGCAACAAGAAATTAAGTGTAAAGGGGGAGAATCCAACAAAAATAAAAAGTCATGACAATGATAAGGCAATACATATCAGTTATAACCATCAATGTTAATGGTCTCAATTCACCAATCAAAAGAAATAGATTGGCAGAATGGGTTAAGAAGCAAAATCCAACAATATGCTGCATACAAGAAACACACTTCATTCAAAAAGAAACTCATAGACTGAAAGTTAAAGGGTGGAAAATCATACTCCATGTGACAGAAACCCAAAAAAAAGCAGGAGTAGCTATTCTCCTTGCAGATCAAGTAGATTTCAAACCAACACTGATTAAGAGAGACAAACAAGGATGCTACATCCTTGTAAAGGGAACAATCCAGCAGGAAGAGATGACAATCATAAATATCTATGCACCGAACACTAGTGCGCCCAACTATGTAAAACAAATACTAATGGACATGAGAAGTCATATGTACACTTATACAATGGTAGTGGGGGACCTCGATACCCCACTGTCACAAATAGATAGATCAACTAGACAAAAAAAATAAGTAATGAAATACTAGAACTCAATCAAACTCTTGAACAAATGAACTTAACAGATTGTTCCACCCCACAAAATCAGAATGCACATTCTTTTCAGCTACACATGGGTCATTCTCCAAAACAGACCACATACTCACTCATAGAACATGTTTAAGTAAGTGCAAAGGAACTGAAGTTTTCCCCTGTACATTATCAGACCATAGTGCAATGAAACTGGAGATCCATAGCAAAAGAAACCACAAGAATTTCATAAACACATGGAAATTGAACAACACACTTCTGAATAACCAATGGGTCACAGAGGAAATTAAAGAAGAAATCAGACAATTCCTTCAATTAAATGACAGTGACAATACAAGATATTGGAATCTATGGAACACGATGAAAGCAGTCTTATGAGGGAAATTCATAGCAGTGAATACACATATTAGGAAAACAGACAGAGCCCAATTGAACAACCTGATGCTGAACCTCAAGCTTCTAGAAAAAGAAGAGCAGGACAAACCCAAAGCTCATACAAGGGAGGAAATTATAAAGATCAGAGCAGAAATCAATGCAATGGAGACTAAGAGAACGATACAAAAAATTAATGAAGCCAAGAGTTGGTTCTTCGAAAGAATAAACAAAATTGACAAACCCTTAGCCAACCTTATCAGAAAAAGGAAAGAAAAGGCCCAAATCCATGCAATTAGGAATGAAAAGGGTGAAATTACAACAGACCCAGCAGAAATCCAGAGGATAATCAATACCTACTTCAAGAACCTATAAGCCAGTAAGATGGAAAACACAGAAGAAATGGACAGATTCCTAGATATGTATAAATTACCAAAGTTGAACGAAGAAGACCTAAAAATTCTGAACAACCCAATATCAACCAATGAAATTAAAAATGTAATTAAAAACTTACCAACTAAGAAAAACCCAGGTCCTGATGGCTTCACTGCAGGTCTGGAATAAATCCTATCTCCTGCAGGTGACCGAGCTGCACAAGTCTGTCCCCATTCTGGGGCCCGGTCCCTCAGCACTTTCCTTCTGGGAAGGTGTGGCCGTGCGTGTCGAGAGGAGGGCAGTGTCACCGGCCCAGGCAGAGGGGTGGGCTGTGGGGCCCTGGCTGGGTTCTCAGAATCCCGAGTACTGATCTACTCAGAGCCCAGCACCGATGCTACCACCACTTGGTGGCAGCAGGCACATATCCTCCAGCCGGTGCCTCTCGCCTCAGTAGGATGGTGTGGAGCCGGAGGGACATAGGCCTGTTTGCCTCTTCCGTAGGACAGCAGGGCAACGCTGAAGTCACAAGGAGGCCCCTCTGGCAAATCTCTCACCCCAGATCAGGCTCTGGGCATAGCCTCGGGCACCCCTATGTGGCTAGGAACAGGAGCCGAGCTTGGGCCCAACCCCCATCTGCCACCTCCCAGTCCTGGGTGGGAAGGGAGGCACTGCAAGCACAGGGGTCTGTGTCGATGGCAGAGCCCTGACTGTCCACCCCCACCCTGCTCCAGCACCCCAATCCCGGCCTCTTCAGCCCCTTCCCTGGCCTGGATGCCATACCCCATGGGGGGCCCAGTCCTTTATGGGGACCCTTGGAAGAGGATAGTGTCACACAACATCACACTGACGCTAAATGACCTGAAGTCCACTGTGGGGATCCTCCTCCCCACGAGTCCCAAGATGTCTCGTGTTTGGGGGAGGCCTGGGGGGCATGGTGAATGTCGGGTGTCCTGAGGTCCAGCCTAGTGGGGGCTGCACAGCTGTCCATAGCCTGGCCTCACGTCTGGTTGCTGTCACTATGGGGTTCTTGCCCCTAGCAACAGCCCTCCTCTAACTGGCATACCTGGATCCCATGCCCACCCCCCAGAGCCCCGACCCCACAGTGCCTGATCTCTGTCCTCCGAGGAAAAGGAGTCAGGCCATGAGGTCTACTGGGCAGAGGGGCTGTGGTTTTGCACCCTCAGCAGGCCAGCAGGAGGAAGAATGGCTGGGGCCCAGGCTGGGGTCACAGAGTCTGCAGATGACAGCAGCAATAGCCCCCTGAATGTTCCTGTCACAGCAGGGAAGTGGACATTCTTGGGGGCAGCTCAGAGAGCTCTGTGAGAGTCCCCTGAAGGCCCATGCTGGGGGACCCTTGCCAGTGAGGAGGGCGCTCAGTGGCTTCCATGCCACTCCGTCTCCATGGCAACAAGGAACACCTGCCACCCTGCTACTGAAAGAGAGGAGACGCTCGCTGACCCCCAACCCCAGGTTCAGGAAGATTGGTCTCTGGGAGGTGGCAGGAGCAGCTGCTCCAGATGGAGACTGTGGCTTTCTCGGGATCATGCAGGCAAGAACACAGGAAAATGAGTCAGGTCTGTCCCCACACTGGATCTATGGAGTGGGTACCAAGGGTGGCTGTTCTGAGTCCTGTGTCAGCATCTGTCACTGTCAGCAGCCAGGGCTTCCTGCAGCTGCTTCAGCCAAGGGAGGTCGCCATGCCCTGTGGGGAACATGGAGAAGTGGGGGGCATTGAGGGGTGTGGTGAGGACCCCAGCGCCATGTACGGGCCTGGGCAGGCCTGGGACTTTGGCCGGCACAGGGCACCCCCAGTGTGGGCGGTGGTACCCGCTTCTCAGCCAGGCAAGAACACGGACTCTGGCTGAGGCAGAAGGAACCCAGGAACCAGGCTGGGGCTTTTCAGCCCCATGAGATGGAAGCAAAGGACAAAGCTGGCATCAATATCCAACATCACCTATGCCCAGGACCCCACCCCTCTGGCAGCCTGAGGGCTACAGCCCCTACCCAGCCTCCTTCTACCCAGGCCCCACTCACTTGCAGGATTGAGCTGGAATTCTAGTCACTACTGGACCCTGAGTCCCCCACCTGCACTGCCAGCAAACAGGTATCAGGCTGCAGCCCCTTGGGAAGGAAAGCCCAGTGTCAGCCTGTGGCCATCTCCAAGACAGGCAGCCAGGACCCCACACTGCCCCGGGGCTCCTGATGGTTCCCAGTAACTACACTGCAGGAGAGCCAAGGAGGTAGGGGTGGGAGGTTTTCACGCTGACACCTTCCTCGTGGGGCTCAGACCAGGCCTGCCTGCTATCTCAGGGCCATGAGGAAGGGGGTGCGGATGACTTGGGGTGGGTGACCTCGAGGAGGGGGCAGGCCATGGGGAGAGGGTTCTAGAGACGGATTGGTGGCTGAGTCAAGATCCCCCCAGCCCTATGTCCCTAGGGGCTGAGGAGTGGCCCTGCTAGCTATGTTTCCGTTGCTGTTACAGAACAGGTAGACTGGGACACTTACAAAGAAGAGAGTTTTATTTGGCTCGTTGTTCTGAAGGCTGAGAGGCCAGAGCATGGACCAATGTCTGAGGTGACCTGAGCTGTGTCAGGACTGCAGAGGCATGACACGGCCACCCTGGGGAGCATGCAATGCAGGGGCCACCCTGAGAGGGCCCAGTGAGCGGGATAGAGCTACCCATCACAGGTTCCCTAGAGGCCCACTCTCCACACCTGCCTCTGGGACCAGTGTCCACATGGGAACTCCCAGGGACACACTCTGGCCACCACAGACCTTCCAGGGCCCAGAGAGGCAGTCCTGGTCACTCCGCAGATGCCCTGTCCAGGGCTGGTGCCAGCCACTGGGCACCCAAGGCCAGAGAGGCCTGGGGCTCTGCCCACACTCGCATCTCCAGGTGGACCCCACTTGCCTGGCTCACTGACCACCATGGCCAGGGGTCTAGCAGTCATGGAACCAAGGGGTCCACTTTGGGGGTGGCCCCTTCCTCCCCCTTGGAGGGGGTCAAGATCAGCACGGCCAGATTTGCTCAACACGTGAGTACACAGACGAGCCAGGGTCCTGCAAGGCCGCTGGGGCTGGGGCCAGGGCGGCAGCCAGCGAGGAGGGGCTTGTCCCGGGCTGTGGTGTCTGGGACAGGGACAGGGACAGCGACAGGGAACGGGGACAAGGACAAGAGCATGGACAGAGCAGGGACAGAGCCAGGGTGGGGAGCGGGACGCACGTCCTATGAACACCACGGCGGAGACCGTGCAATTTCTCTAAAATAGCTCTGGGTACATGGTCCGCCTCCACGAGCGGCCACCGAGGGCCTCGGGCTCACTGCGGTCCAGTCACGGTCCTCGTCACCCCGAGCGTCCCGAGCCGCACGAAGCAGGAGCCCTGAAGGATGGCGACGGAGAAGGAGCCGCAGCGCTTGCAGGGCAGATGAGCCGTTACACACGAGGCACAAAGTGGGGTCACTCGGGGCCCCTGCAAGGAGAGGGCGCTCAGACCCGTGGGCACCTGAGACGGCACCCACGGCCTCCAGGTCTCGGAGTGGAGACTGCGCCCACCCGGGCCCAGATATGCCCCCATCCACGAGCCCCGGCAGCGACGCCCACACAGCCTGCAGCTGCTCTCACGAGCTCCTGAGACCAAGCCGGGGGCGGGGCGGGACCCTGGCCACGCCCACTGCGACCACGCCCAAGACCACACCCACCACAGCCCAGACCACAGCTCTGCGCAGCCGCAAACCACGCCTGTCCAACAAAAGCCACGCCCCTCTGAGTCCGCGCCCATTGAGCGTCTGGCCCCAGCGTCTCACCGGGTCTGGTCTCTGCGGCACTCCGGCCCGCCGACCCCTCCCACCGGACACCCCATCGTCGTGCCTGGTGAAGGCCTAGGGACTGAGGGCCGCCCCTTCCCCGGTGTCCCTCTGACTCCCACCTACAGGCCCAGCCTGTCCCAGGTGGGCGGGGCGAGAGGGCGCTGTGCCAGACAGCCAGAACTAGAACACAGCACCCGCCGGAGCCCCAGCTGGGAGGCAAAGGCAGGAGGACTGCAAACACAGATGTGGGTGGGGCAGGGGGCAGGGGGCAGGGGGCAGGGGGCAGGGACCCCCCCACACACACACACAGACACACACACACTCACCAGCCCCTGGCAGCTTCTCCCCAGTTGTCCTAGGGCTGGAAAAAGGGTGTCTCCCTGCACCGAGTAAGGGTTCAGGGCTGAAGGGGAGGATGGTCCCGGGCCTTCCTGAGAGAGACACAGAGTTGGGGAGGCTGTGCACAGGGCACAGAGAGGAACACCAAGCCCTTGGTGAGGGAGGCGCCGATGGGTCCAGACCAAGTGTGGACCCAGCATATGGACAGCATCTCAGATGGTGAAACAGTAAGGCAAGACCAGGTCCGGGCAGGGCAGGGCGCCCATGGGGCATCCTGGGTGTGGGGGACAGAGAGCCCCTGGCGGGGGGGCAGGCCTCTACCCCAAGCAAGCAGCCTGCCAAGGGGCTACAACCCCATGCAAGGGTGAGCCAGGAGCTCACTGTCCACACACGGCTGCCCTTAGTGCACAGCACGGGAGGAGACACCCCAGGGGAGATGGACCCCAGCAGCTCAGGGTCAACCAGCTTTCTGAGCATTGGCCTATGGGTTTGGAGGTGCGGAGCCTCCTCCTCCACACCTGGGAGGAGCACACACTCCTTGTGGTTGTTTCTAAAATGAGCAGTTTATAATAAAATACGAAACAGCAGAGAGAACAGGGCCAAAAACTTAACCTATTAGAATCACCAGATCATCAGACACAAAAACCATGAAATTTCAAATTCAATGTAGGAAGTACAGGCAAGGGAAAGAAACCATAAAGGATGGCCGCATAATTTTCCTCTTTTTTCTTTTTGATGCTGTCCTTTCTGGGATGCATCCTCTCAGGATACCACAGAAGCTCTGGGGCCGACGCAGCCCAGCATGCCTGCCTTCGCCCATGACCGTCAGCCCCCTCAGAACTTGCAGGAACCACGGTGCTGGACACACTCTGGCTCCCTACCATGCACCCTCAGTGCTAGCGAGACATGAGCACCATCCGCCCTTGTCCTACCAAGGGAAACTCACTGGAATTGCTGCCCAGGGCCCCACTTTGCTGCTCTGGAACTGGCCACACTCACTGAGACCCTAGTGGTACCCAGCCTGCCCTGTGCCCTGACTGCAGGATACAGCCTGGCCTCCCTCCCTGAGCCCACACAAACAGGACAGGGACAAGACAAAGACACGGCTCTGTAGGGTTACCTGGTGCCGGGGGCAGCCCATGCAGAGCACCGGCTACCATCCTCAGTCTCTGAGGCACGGGCACCAGGGGCTGCACACTTGGCAAGTCCAGAGCTGTGTGTCGGGTGGGCTGAGCCTTGGCTAGGATGCTGCTCAGGCCCCTAGGGTCCATGGGCTGCCAGCTGCAGGCAGCGTGTGCCTGTTTCTTGTGGGGTTCAGCATGGCTGTGCCTCACTCCATATCCCCTCTCACCTGCGGCAGGCCCCAGGGGCACAGGCACCTTTCTGTCCCCCGGGGTCCCATCCTGAGGGACAGGGGTTCGAGGGGGTCTGCCCACCGGGTCCAGCATGGCTGAGGGGTGAGGCACTTTAAGCATCTGAACCTCTGGGAGTGATGCTGAGACTCTGACAGTGGGAACGGGTGGCATCTGCCTCTTGGCCCTCCTCATGCCGACGCCTTCCACGCAGAGGTCAGACACGCTGAGAGGTGGCAGCTCCACGGCGGGCTGGGAGGAAGGGTGCAGGTTAGGGGCTCCCAGGGTGCTGTCTTGAGGCCAGAGGTCCCTTCTCAGGTAGAAACCGGCTGGGCCTGCCAGGAAGCCTGAATGACCCCAACAGCCTCCACCCCAATAGTCCCACCTGCATGCTAAATGACAACCCATCACCTTGAGGGTTGACAGTTGCTGTGCAGACAATGGAAAGAGCCATACCCCCCCCCAAGAAGAGCAGAAAAAGAGGTGGGCCCTGAATTCCTGGGAAATCTGCCTGCCAGTTTCCAGACACGGTTCTCCTTCCGCCTTTGCCTAACCCTTCCTTTCCTGTCTTCACTCTGCTTCAGAGATCACGCAACCCGTTGGGTTCAGAAGCTGCTTTGTGAGTTTCGCTCCATGTTCCTGTGCTGCCGGACTGGTCTGATTATCAGTTTAGGAGTTCTGAGAGAGAAAAGGACCCGTCCTGGGCTTGGAAATCAGTAACAAACTTGGGCACGGGTCTGGGCTCCCAGGTAGGAGTCCAGGGGCAAAGACTTCAAGGCCTTGTGCCTGGCCAGCTGGAAAGTCCAGAGGAGCAGCCCCAGGAGCTCCCCCACAGGGCTAGGAAGGCGTCACACACCCAGGCCAGGGCTCCAGGACCTCAAGTGTCCAACAATGAGTCCTTCACTGAGTGTAGATGAGTGAGGCTGGCCCAGGCCTGCAGGCATCGGAGCATGGCCAGAGCTGGAAACAGGATCCACATCCAAGGTTCCAGAAGGACTGGTGGCCTGCAGCTCCATCTGGCTTCCAGGGCCCAGGAGGCAGAGCTGTCTGCGGCACAGGACACCCCCAGAACTCGGTGTTCACAGCCACCCTGCTCACCTGCCACCACAGAAGCTTGAGGTTGCCAATGTCACAGGAGCGGTCGAGCCTGCGGTCCACTGTGACCTTGATGGTGTCTTCCTGCACCTGGGCGCACAGCTGGGCTGCGACAGGTGTTGACGGGTACACGGTGGGGCTGGAGTTGATCTCGATGAGCCAGGGCCTGAAGTCTCGGCTCGGGACGAAGTCAGCACCATAGAGGTCAAAGCTGTTTCTTCAAGGCTCCACATGGCACTGGGCCACCTTCATGGCGTGCGTGACGGCCCTCTTCATGGGTGGCTAGATGAGCCTGCCCCACGTGGGCCCGTGGCCCTGGGCCTGCGGGTGCTCCTGGAACCGTGTGCTGCTCCACATGTTGTGGCTGGGCAGCAGTGGGCTGCGGCCCTTTTCACTCGGGAGGTGCTTCTGGATGGCGCTGCAGGCAGGGTGTCTGTGAGGCCAGTGGTGGCTGGAGGGACCTGCACTGTGGCACCTTGAAGGTGAAGGGAGGAGGAGCCCACCGTCCAGGACCACCCACTGGGGCATCAGGGTACTGGCTTCCCCACCTCGCTGTCCCTACTTGCTCACTCCAGTGGGGTACCAGGCCCGGAAGGACTGATGGGGAAGGTGAGGTGACACCAGGGAGGTCAGGGGAAATTCCACTCATTTACATTCTTGCCTTGTTCTGAATGGACTCAAAACAAATGGTATCGTTTACATCACGAACTACGTTTTGAGCTAAGAGTATTTTCATCTGAATGGTTGGCGATCAGGCAGGTACAGGACTGGGAATTAGATGGGCTCAGAAAACAGAAAAAAGTCTCTACCAGCTAGAAGGGAGCCTGAAAAGTAAGAAATGGTGGCACAAGGTCCCTGGTGCTCACATTCAGTGACTAACTCCTGTCTGCACCTGTGGGACCACGCCTACTCACACACAGGTTCAGGGACTTGCCTGTTGTTCAGACGGAGGGTAGACAGCCTGAGGCCTGGAGAAGTGGCCCAGGGTGGGGCCAGGGTCCCCGGGCCACTTCTGCACAGACAGCCTGGGTCCAGAGGTGGGAAGCAGTGACATGGGTGCAATGGCTTCTCCTAGCCCAGCCCAGGCAGGACCTCAGGGGTGCGACTTTGCAGGTGTGACCTCACAGGTATGACCTTACAGATGTGCCCTCAGGGCCATGACCTCGGGGGCAAGACCTTGCCGATCTGACCTGGGGGGATGACCTTGGAGGCATGGCCTCTCAGGTGTGGCCTCATGGTGTGAGCTCACCAGTTTGATCTCGGGGGCTTGACTCCCTGTGTGGCCACCCCAAGCCTGGGAGCATAGTTCACCTCCAGCAAGGTCTCAGTCCCCTGGACTCTGAATGACCTCCTGCAAAATTCCCCTAGACATCCAGCCCCTCCTTTCCCTGGGCTGGCTGCTGAGTGACATTTACAAAACCCCTAGAGGAAGCCAGCTGGGTGGACAGGCTGCAGGTACCCTCTTTATGTGGACAGCCAGTCTCCGAGGTCCACAGCTGGCTCCTGCCACGCAGGGACCTGCCTGGTGATGGGGTTCACCCCATCCTGGGTGTGTCTGTGCTTGTGCCCGGTGCTCGCACACCCCAGGCCCAAAACTCACTGACCTGTCCAGGCTGTCCAGGGAGAAGCACTGTGTGGAGAAGCGCAGATAGCTCTCCTTGTAGAACCAGATGGTCAGGGGGTTCCAGTCAGTGACCAGGAACCACTGCCTGATGTCAAACTTGGTGTCGTAGATCAGCAGCGGCGTCTCGATGTACTTCTGCGCCACCCACCTATTGTCCCGGGAGGATGGGCGGTCGGCAGCCACCAGTGCCAGGATGTCCTCCATGCGATCCATGCACACTATGTCTGCAAGGGGCAGCTACTCTTCCAGTGCCGCGTGGCCCCATGCCCCGGCTGTGGTCCAGGACAGAGGCAGCACGGCCAGGCTTGGTGAACTTGATGAATGGGCCACTGCTGCCCACCACCCAGCTCTTCCAGCACAGAGCCAACCGCACCCTAGAGAGGCCTGAGACCAGGAGTGGCCGGGCATGCAGGACACACTCAGGTGGGGGGGGTCCCTGAGGGGAGTCCAGGGGGGCTCATACCAAGGGTAATGGACAGAGGGGAGGAGCCCTCTGCTTGTGCACAGGCCCTGCAGTTCCCCCTCACTCCCCATGCAGGACATGTGACTCACATGACCCAGGACACACGGGACAAGTATCACTGTATGCTGCAGAATGTAATGCCAGGGCAGGCCCTCCAGCCCACTTTTCTTTGCTGTGACACCCTGAGGCCTCAGGGGAGAGGCCATAAAAAGGGGCTTTGATACACAGAGCACCCACCATCTACGTAGGCTACCTGCAATGTGTGACAAGTGCAACTGAGAGGTGAACTGTTTCACTAAGTGCTGCTGGTTTGGGGCTGCTTCTTACACAGCACTGTCCAGCCTGTTCTGATTGACACAAGGTGGAGGGAGCTCTGTCCACAGATCCCCAAAGGCTCAGGTGACCTCTCACAAGCCACAAGATTTTGATTTCTTAGCTAGATGGAGTCGGGATCTTGCTTAAGATACAGTAATGAGCCACTGTCAGAGGGCGGGGCACTGGTTCTAAATGGGGTCTGAGGTGTCCATGGTGGAAGTAAGGGTGGCCAGACGGATGGGAGGAGACAAAGGCTGCCCGGGAAGAGGAGTGGGCTCAGGACAGAGCCTGGGGGGAAGCACCTACACTCAGATGTGCACACGCATGCGCACACACACTTGGGCAAGGGGTGCTCACAGGGGCAGGAGGAAGCCCTGAACCTCTGCAGGACACCAGGAGCATGGGCCACGTAGGCGCAGAACCAGGCTGCTTCAAGACAGAAGATGGCGTTTAAAGCCAAATGCAACACAGCGCATGTCTATAAAGAATTGAAAAATCACTTGTGAATCTAAAAAAGCTCTTCAAAGTAACTTGAGAGGAAAATAGAATGTCCAAAATAAAAGTGAAGGCTGTGTAGATGGTACAGAGATGAAGACACAAATCAGACTGTGCAGCTAATGTTGGCATGGCCTCAGAGCTTTCACAGAGCTTTTCCTCTTTTTTAGAGGAAGACAGGAGGTAGCTGGACTCAGCACGAGTTCAGTCAGAGCAAGGGGAAAATACCTCACAGAAAAGCTGAAAAACACAACCAAAAGTCGATTCTTCGGGAACATAAATAAGATTAGAAAACCACTGTGAAGTCCTATACACACACACACACACACACACACACACACACACGTCAGGAAAACAGAGAACACAATCGCAGCGGCAGCTCAAGGAAAGGGAATGAACCCTGAGCGGCCGAGGAGCTGCCACCACAGAGAGAATGTAAAAGGCACCCAGGATCTGCCTCCAGGAGAGGCTGCATGGTGTGGGAAGAGTGCTCATTCCTTTCAGAGGCCAGCAGAAGCCTGTTGGTCAGATCCACCAAGGTGATGTGGATAAGGAAACTAGGGAGCAGCTGAGTTTTCACATACAAAGAAGAAAATCCCAAGGAGCTGCCACCCCAGCGCAGTGCCCAAGGACGCCTTCTTCAGGGGGCCAGGCACCCAGGAGTACAAGCTCCACAGTGACTGGGGGATTCGGTGCCCGTTTCCTCCCCGTACAGAGCCATGCAGAGATGGGGCTTCACTCTGGGCACAAACAGTGGCTGTCACAGCAGTGACCCACACCTGCCCTTGCGGAGCACCCATTCCCAGGAAACTCACCCCGGCCCCGGGACTTGGCTGCAGGCTTTATAATCCAGATGTTCCGCAGCCCATCGATTTCTGTCTGAGAGTTCACAGACTTAATTTTATTCAGCAGAGCCTGGCACTGCGAGAAGTAATTTCTTGGATTGGAGATGAAACCATCGCCACTAGAAAGCAAGATCCAGAAAGTGCGTGAGACACAGAGACAGCGCAAGCCCCGCCAAGGGTGGGTGCCGCAGCACGAGGGTGGGGTGGCAGCTGACCTGGTCGGGGAGGATGGGCAGGCTGGAGGGAGCAGTGAGGACAGGGGCCTGTGAGGCTGCACCCGGGCAGGGCATGTCAAGGGCTCCCGTCCATGGGTCTGGACTGGTGTGCACCTCAGGACACTCTGTGCCCAGGTTCTGCCTGTCAGCGATACCCACACCATCCCCCACTACTGGACCCAACTTCCTGTCCAGCAGGCTTGAGCATTCTGACCCCAACACCATGTTGGGGCCCTGACTCAGGAAGCCACCAGGGAACAAAGGCAAGGGCTCAGCAGAGCTGTCCCTGTAGCTCAAGGAGCCTGCAGGTGTCATTCTGCTACCAGGGGAGCGATAGCCCCACTGTCCCCAAAGCTGGCCTCCGACATGGGGGACACTCTATGCATGGCAGACCCAGAGCCAGGGAAGCATCCATATAAGTTCCCTGCACATGTCCCAAGGCCACTGGGCAGGACTCAGGCTGAGGCCCTGGGGCATGGGTTGGGGACAGAGGACATCTTGTTCTGTTCACTACTAGGCGAGCAGCATTTGAGAGAAGTAAGTGTGGGGTCCTGGTCAGCTAGGCGAGGCCCCTGCCCCTGGAGTTGTGGCCAGAGGGGAAAGTGTACAGAGTCCCTGAAGGCGACAGCACCTTGGCTGGGTACAGGAACAAGGTGGTCGCCTAGCCCACGGGTCTACCAGACTTCGGGGCCTCACATGATGTCTGACCCCAAGGAAGACAGGACAGCTCAGTCTTGATGGGGACACAGTGCCCACAGGAGCGGAGGGCCCTCGGGGTCCCCAGAACACCCTGCCTGGCCTTCAGGGACAGCCCCAGTCGGTCCTGGTGCGACAGTGTCACCAGCACTGTCACACCAGGAGAGGTGGGGAGCGGTGGCCCTGGCTCACACCACAGTGGCGACAGGGTAATGCCTCTGCATCCAAGGGTGTTGACCGGGCTGTGAAAGCCAGCAGGGGCTGGGGCAGAAGGCTGGCAGAGAGGTTCAGGAACCATCAGCCCCAGGTCCTGGCACATCCCACACCCATCAAAGAACAAACAGGATCCCTCCATGTAGCAGACACCTTCATCCAGTATTAGCAGGCTATGGTGGCACAAGCTTCTTGCCCCTCCATAATTCGGCTGTGTTACATTGGAAGTAGCAGAGCTTGGCTGAGTTCACTCCCAGTCAAGGTCAACTGACTCCAGCTAAATTCTTCCCTCTGAACTCACCGCTTGTTCTCTTCAGCAAAGATACCTTTGTCCCCTCATCCTACAGTGCTGCCTGCTCGATACTTGTTATCAACAGGTGTCCTGAGGCTGCCCAGTTTCCCCTCCCACACTTGTAACAAATAAAAACTACACGTCCCGGGAGTCCTTTGTCTTTGCTGCCCAGACCGGCTTAGATCAGCCCAGGACTCAGTTTCTCTCAAGTCTCTGTCTCTGTGTTTCTTTCAATTCCCGCTTCCCTATCTTGCGGATGTTGTCCTGGCTTGCAGGAGGGCAGGACCACTGCAGGACCACCTCCAATCTGCTGTAGGGGCCCCCTTCAGGCCATGCACCCTAATCACCCGCTCACATGATTTGCAAAGGGGTGTCCTGGGGCCTAATGCTGCCATAGGTGACACTCAGGACGTCTTTCTACAAAACCACAGTTGGAGTTGTTGTCACTTACGTTTCCCTAGTGGCTAAAGATGAAGAACATTTCTACGTGTATTTATCAGCCATTTGTACCTCTTTTTTTGAGAAGTGTCTATTCAGTTCATTTGTCCGTTTTTTGATTGGGTGACTTACTTTGGGGGGGTTAATATTTTGATTTCTACATATTACTCCTGCATAAGAAGAGTAGCTGCCAGACTTTTTTCCCATTCTGTAGGTTGTCTCTTCCCTCTGTTGCTGGTTTCCTTTGCTGAGCAGGAGGTTTTTAACGTGATGTGATACCATTTGTTGATTCTTGATGTTATTTCCTGTGCTACTGGGGTTCTGTTCAGAAGCCCTTGCCTGTGGCCAGGGTTTCAAGTGTTTCCCCTACGTTATCATCCAGGAGTTTAAACGTTCTGGTTGCACAGCTAGGTCTCTGATCCATTTTGATTTGATTTGAGTGCAGGGTGAGAGACATGGGTCTAGTTTCATTCTTCTGCATGTGGATAACCAGTTTTCCCAGCACTGTTTCTTAGAGGCTGCCTTTTTTCCAATATATGTTTTGGCCCCTTTGTCTAAAATCAGATAGCTGAAGGTGCCGGGAGTTCTGTGCTTCCTGTTCGATTCCATTGGTCTACATATCTATTTTTGTGTTAGTAAAATGCTATTTTGTTACCATAGCTTCTGTGAAGAATGTTGTTGGTATTTTAATAGGGATTTCTGATATCTATATGACACTTTGGTAATATGGCCATTTCAACAATTTCCTCCTTATCCAGGAACAGGAGATGTCTTTCCATTTTCTAACATCCTTTTGAAACTTCGTTTAGAGTTCTGATTTTTCATTATACTCCATTCAGAATGGCCATTATCAAGAACACACACACACAAAGCAATGCTTGTGAGGAGGTGCGAGGGGAAAAAACTCTTCTTATTTTGTTGGTGGGATTGTAAACCAGTACAACCATTATGGAAATCAGTACGGAGAGTCCTTAAAAAACTAAGAATAGAAACTTCATGTGACCCAGTTCTACCTTTCCAGAAATATTTCCAAAAGAATTAAAAACATACTATAGTGATCCATGAATGCCCACAATTCATAATAGCTGAGCGCTGGAAACAGCCCAGATGCCCATCAACAGATGAATGGATAAAGAAAATCCAGTATATATACACCATGGAACATTACTTAGCCATCAAGAAGACTGATGTCATGTCATTTCCAGGAAGATACGGAACCTGAGACCACAATGTTAGGTAAAATAAGACACAGAAAGTTCACACTGCTCTCTTCTATGAGAAATCCAAAATAAATAAATTGAAGAGTAAAATAAAGGAGAGATGGGGAAACACATTTTGAAGGTGAAGATGGGAATGGGGAGGGGTGAGGGGTTGGGGGCTGGAGGCTAAAGGGACTGAGAATGATCAAGGTATGATGCTCACATACACCAGTTCCTTAAACAAATGTAAGCACTACATATTCCAAACGAACACTGATTTCTTAGATAAAAAGAACACCTGGCTGGGAGCACAAGGCCAGCTCAGAAGAGTGAAGTCTGCCCCTTCACACATGTGTGCTGCCATCTTTGGCACTCAGATCGGGGTACAAACCCTTCGGCTCCCGGAAGGCCCTGGCACCACAGCGTGCTGTCCCAGTGGTAGCAACTTGACAGCACCCTAACTCTGCCACTGGGCAGGGTTCCCTTTCCTGAGCTTGGCACTGGTGGGCCCTGGGCTGCCACAGTGCCTTCCTCATCATGGTTGTGTCATTAGTTCGGGGTTATGAGGTGAGGTCTTCTGAGGACAGATGTGTTCATGCCTCTTGGATAAAGACCAAGGAGCAGACAGGCTGCTCACAGGAGACATGGACACCCAGGTTTCTAGGAACTGCCTGGGGCTTTTCCAGAGGCTGTGCCACCCGCAGGCTTGCCCCATGGCACCTGCATCTGAGTGACAGCATCCGACACTTGTCTCAGCTGTGCTGGGGCGCAGGGTCCCTCGCTGATGAGCGGGGATGCTGAGCACCCACCTGTGTCTCACTGGATATCTGGTCCCCTCCTTTGTGAAGAGTGTGTGCCAACCTCTGAGCATCTCCGCTTATTGACTCCTGTCTTCCGTACTGTCTGGATCAGAAGCTGCCACGGCCGCCATGCTGCAAGCTGCTCCTCCAGCCTGGGCCTTCTTTTCTCACTCTCTTTAGGGTGTTTTTAAAGAAACTGTGTGTAGTACCGAGGATTGAATGCAGGGCCTTTCCACTGACCTGTATCTCTAGCTCTTTTCATATATTTTTAAATTTTGAGATAGGGTTCCCCTAAGTCACTAAGTCACCCAGGCTGGGGTTGAACTTGTGATCCCATCCCTCAGCCTCCCAGGACGTTGAGATTACAAGAGTGCCCACCATACCCAGCTCAGAAACAGTTCTCAATGTCAACAAAATGCATTTTATCCATTTTTCAATGTTGCAATGTGTTTTAACTTTCACCCATCACTTGACACATTACAAATTAGCTTTCGGGAGCCTGTGAAGCAGGATGCAGGGTGTATAAGCCCAGGTCCTGCCTGTGAGGGCGTCCTCCTGCACTGTGCTGGTACGTTGTCTGTTCATCTATTTATCCCAAGCCCACACTGCTTATTGTAGTCATCCTGGGCAACTTAGTGATCTAGCGAGAACCTGTCTCAAAATAAAAAATTTTAAAAGGGCTGAGGATGAAGCTCAGTGCAGAGGCCCTGGGTTTAATCCCAAGTACTGCCTCCCCCCTCGAAAATATGTGGACCTCCTAGTTACCACATCAAGTGTTCCCAACAGGTCAGCAAGGCTCAGTTGGTGAGCAGTGTTGTTCAGAGTCTGTATCTTTACTGATTTTTATCAGTTTCTATCAGGAACTGAGAAAAGTGTGCTAAAGACTCCAAACTATGAGTGTAGATTTGTCTACTTACTTTATTTTACTTCTGTCAATATTTCCTCCATATCTATTGAGGCTATTTTACTAATTATATATGAATTTAGAATTGTGCCCCTCTGTTGAGTGGACACTTTTTATTATTATGAAATATTGTCTGTCTTTCTGTCTAGTAACTTTCCTGCTTTAAAGCCTCCTCTGTGTGATATTAATACAGCCTATCAGCTTTCTTTTTGTTAATGTTTTACGATTTAACTTCTCTTTATTCTTTTTTTTTTTTTGGTACTGGAGATCAAACTCGGGACCTTGCACTTGCAAGGCACGTGACGGAACCACCGAGCTAAATCCCTGGCCCTATTTATTCTTTTTCAATGTCTCTATGTAATAATATATAAAGGTGTCTCTTGTAAACACAATCTTTTAAAAAAATGATTCTGAGGGCCGGGGATTTAGCTCAGTGGTTTTGCCGCCTGCTGTGTAAGCTCAAGGACCCGAGTTCAATCCCCGGTACCAAAAGAAAGAAAAAAAGATTCTGAAAATTTTTGTATTGTTCATTCATTTAATTAATGAAATCATTGACATGGTTTGGTTTAAACCTTACTCTCTCGCCAGCTGTTCCTGGTTGTCCCATCTTTTCTAGCGACAA